AATGTTTATTTTGGAAATTGCTTTTCATTATGATGGCGTCAAAGGATTTGCGCATTTCCGAGAGAGTTGACAGGTTGACGGGATAATCCAACAATACCCTTATTTCTATTATGAATCAGAATGTTTAGTGATGCTCTAGTAAGCTATATTGTATATTTCAGCAATAAATAACAATTAAAATAATTAATTAAACACTACTACTGAGACAACAATTACAATAATTGAAAATGAAAAAACTAAATTCTAGAGTGAAAACTCTATATATTAATTCTTAAAATGAGTTCAGGTTGGAATGCTTTAAAGAATAAATGCGCAGAATGCTTTAAAAATAAATTTAAAAATTAGTTACGTAATGAATATTCAGTATCTAGCTCAAAGGCCGAATAGTTTAGCCGAAGATTACTTACATTATTTACATTTACAATAATTTCAATTTATTGGGTCAGGTAGGATAAAGTGGGCATAAAATCGAGTTTTTTTTTTTTTTTTTTTTAAGAAGTCTCGAAAACCAAATCATTAAATTTATGTTACTGAAAATTTTGATTCTATGTTCATTAATGTTGGCTTTTTAGCAGTTGTAATTAATCTTCATTATTTAAACTTTTAACATTTCTTACAATAAATTAATTCCATGCGTTTTATGAAAATTAAAAAGTGCAGTTGTAAACTACTTTATGAATGTCACAAACATGATTGCGTTTTTCCACATTATGAAGAATGTATTAAAAGTAAGTTTTTTACAATGCTTGAAAAAAAAAAGTTTGAAATAACTTTTTTGGATAAGTTCTCTTTCTTTCTCTCGTAATTAGTATTCGTTACTTATTAGAAAGCGCAAGTGTAAACTACCTATTAATAATATCAACACGCTTTCGTTTTCCCAAATTATAAAGAATTATGTATTAAAAAGAACTTTTTTACAATGCTTGAAAGATTTCTTTGTATAAATTCTTCTAAGTTTCCTTTCAATCGTAATCAGTAGAGCCCGGATTTTGATGACCTAAAAAATCTCAATTAATGCCCTTAAAAAGTGCAAAAAATGCCCTTATGAACTGCAAAAAATGCCCTTAAAAGTGCAGAAAATGCCCTTAAAATGCGAAAATTGCGCTAAAAATGCCTTATGACATGACTTAAATCGAAGTAAAAATATTGAACTTGTGTTTTACTCTTTAAAATTATTATGAGTCGTTTCAAAAAATATAAAGCATTGCAATACTTGTTCTACGTTCATTAAAGTTTGACAAATATGTTTTATATCCAAAAATAACAACAAAAAAAAAAGGAAAATAGATTGACTCCAAAACATTTTCATTTTGTATAGAAACTTAAATGAATATAACAACTTCCATCTCATAATATTACTAAATATCAGAATTACAGTGGATTATTAATTTTTTTTTTTAATATTTTGAAATGTAAACGAGCGTCTCTTGTCTGAAAGCAAATTTTTATACCAGGAGAAGTTTCTTTCAACGTCTACTGATGTTATTGGTGCGTACTTGAAAAGGACGGTCACACTTACTGACGATTCTTCTTCAATTTGAAAAGATGTTGCTTCACCTGTTAATATCCTAAAAATTTTCTTCATTGTTTGGAAGCCAGTGTAATAATAAAAAATAATAAAAATTAGAAAAATTTAACAAAAAATTTAGAAAATGCTTTAAAATGCAAAATACTCCCCAAAATTTTAAAGAAAATGCCCTATAAATCTCAAAAAATGCTCTAAAGGACAAAAAATGTCCAAAAATGCAAAAAATGCAAAAAAATGCTAATGTCATCAAAATCCGGGCCTTAGTAATCAGTCTTCTTCACTTAAAATTGTTATCCTTTCTGACTTTAAATCAATTCTATGCGGCTTCTAAAAATTAGGAAGCGCAATTGTAAACTACCTTAACTATGCTATTAACTTGATTGCTATATCCCATATTATCCCGCGTATTAAAAAGAAAAAGAAAAAAAAAACATTTTCCCTCTTGTGTGAGGGAATTGGGAAAAATAGCAATATTATGAAAAAGGAAAAAAAAAAAAAAAAAAAAAAANAAAAAAAAAAAAAAAAAAAAAAAAAAAAAAAAAAAAAAAAAAAAAAAAAACAATGCTTGAAAGATTTCTTTGGAAAAGTTTTTCTAACTCTTTTGTTTCTTCTTAGTTGTAATCAGTCTTCGTTGCTTAAAATTACTAGCGTTTCTGGCAATTAATCGACTATGCGACTTACAAAGACTAAAAAGCGCAATTGTAAACTACCTTAAATAAGTTATCAATTAGATTGCTCTTTTCCATATTATCCAGTGTATTTAAAAAGCGTTTCCCTCCTTGGGAGGGAAAAACAGAATTAGGAAAAAATAGTAATAATTATGAAAAAAACAAAGCAATGCTTGAAAGAATTCTTTGGACAAATTCTTCTAATTCTTCTTTTTCTTCTCAATCATAATCAGTCTTTGTTTCTTAAAATTATTAACGTTTCTGGCAATAAATCAATTCTATGCGGCTTATGAAAACTAAAAAGCGCAATTGTGAACTACCTCTTAATGATATTAACACGCTTGCGCCTTCCCACATTGAAAAGAATTATGTATTAAAAAGAACTTTTATACAATGCTTGAAAGAATTCTTCGTATAAATTCTTCTAACTCTTTTATTTCTTTTCAATCATAATCAGTCTTCGTTTCTTAAAATTATTAACGTTTTTGGCAATAAATCAATTCTATGCGGCTTGTGAAAATTAGAAAGCGCAATTGTAAACTATTTATTAATGATATCAACACGATAGCGCCTTCCCATATTATCCAGTATATTAAAAAAAAAAAAAAAAAAAAANGTACGAAATGCCATCCGTCAAAAAAAAAAAAAAAAAAGAAAACTTTCTTCCTCTTGGGAGGGTAAAACAGAATTAGAAAAAATATCAATAATTATGGGGGAAAAAAAAAACAATGCTTGAAAGATTTCTTTAGATAAGTTTTTCTAACTTTTTTTTTCCTTAATCGTAATCAGTCTTCGTTATTTGAAATAAACTTTTTCTCCATAAAAGTTAGAAGGAAAAAAAAAAAATTGGAAGTGATCTGATGCTACGTGTGTGGGCGAGGATGAATCCTCTTCCCCTCTCCAAGAAAACGTGACGGTTACTCAGAAACTTATCAGATTTTCTTCCCTTCTCCCCGTTCCTCTCCGGATTCTCCTGGAAGTTCCGGATTTGTCCTGCACTTTGCAATCCCACCTTGTCCCGAATGAGGACTGAGTGGGGGCGCCACTGACGGCACGCCAGCTATTGTCGATTCGTGGGGAGCATCATCCACTCACAGATCTCAACCAACAGCCAGACGATCCGGGAAACAATATCTCCCCTTTTTTTTAAAACAAAAACTCCCGAAAAGTGGCCATGACAAATAAAGTGCTTCGCGCAGCTTCCGAGTAATGTGCGGTGCCAGAGGTGAGGCGTTTGAATTATTTTCAACCCATTCTTCTCTACGGAAATAGGATTAGTCATATATTTTGAACGTGCACCTTTTAAATTTTTTGAACTATTTATTCTCTATTCAAATGCAATTTCATGATATTCGAAACTAATGTGAGTTTAAAATTTTTTGACCACGTTCATTTCATCTAAATCAAATTATAATTTCATGCAACGTGAAACTATTTTGGGTTAAAAATTTTGTACCATTTTAATTTCTTATCTACCAACTAAAAATTTCCAAGAATTCGAATTTAATGCGCGTTTAAAGTTTCGTATAATTTTCCTTTCGTATCTAACAACTCAAATGTCATGTAACTCGAATTTAATAAGCGTTTAAAATTTACGACCATTTCGCTTTTTCTAACAGCTAAAATATAATTCTCCAGTTAAAAATAAGAAAATAAGACTATTTTTTAGAGTAATCTAAAGAAGTAATGTTGTATTGAAGTACAGTTAAAATTTGATTCATAAGTAGAAACAATATTAATTTTTGAAAGAACGAAAATGCTACAACTGTTTTATCAAACTATTTTTGTTACTGAGATGCTCGCTTTCGCTAAATCACTGCAGTTCGATTTTATCGAAAAAGACTGAAAGGTTATGAAATTTTGAAAAAATTTTAAAGAATTAAATAAAAGAAGAGAAATATTTTCTATCTACGAGCTATCTGTTGCATACAAGTATAGTGTTTGTTAAAGACAACCAGCATTTTATTCAAAATTATTAAAGTGAAAACAAAAGCACATTGTTTAAGAAGTTTTCATATTAAAAAAAATTAAAACGATAAAATTACAAGAGTTCATAACGATTAGTTTTATTTCAGTTGTGTTTAATCCAATTGCGGTATTGATTTTATTACTTTAAATATTTTGCAATTAAACGAAATGTGAAAGTTTGTGCACAATTTGTACGAATCGTTTTGTAAATAGGTTATCAAATCTAATAATAATCTAAAAAAAAAATAAAATCAAAGTGATATTATGGTAAATGCTAAGAGTCCCACTAAATCATTTACTTTTAGAATATTTCAATTATTATATGTCTTATATAAATAATATTTTAATTTTTAATTCTTATTTGTACATTAATAAATCATTTTAAAAATTTAATTTTAATAATAAGGTGAAAAAATTATTTTCGAAAAATTAGCAAGGAAATTTGCAAATAAATATTTTATTTAAGCAATACGTTTTAAAGTTTGTTTTTCAATAAAAGTTTAGTGTTCCAAAGTGCATTTAAAAATCAAACTATTAATCAAGATAACAATAAAAGAAGATTTTGAAAACAAATGATATTAAGTAAATAATAATCAAAAAAACTTTTTAATGTGTTCATTCGATTTAAAATAAGTATTGAAATTGTCTAATTTATTTCAAAAAATGTTTTTCACTGTTATTCATATCAGTCAAGGAAATATATTTTAAAAAGAATTGAAACAATAAAACGTGAAATAGCAATTTAATCAAAATAGTTTGTTAACTGTTACTTTTAAATTTCTTATAACTTGCGTTTAGAATTGTTTTATAACAATAACAAAAAAAAAACCCCAATTGATACGATTAATAATTTTTATATAAATTTAATAACTTTTGAAAATTGTTGAGCATAGAGAATAGTTAGAACGTTTAATATATGATTTGCAATTTCGTTCAGAATCAGATTAAGCTCGCGGCCTTATTATATTTCTTCTAATTGGTGAAACAGAAATATTCAAGTTTGGCAAAGAAGTTTAAGGCAACTTTTTAAAAAGTTTTAAAAAAACCAGAAAATGAAGAAAAATCAAGAAAAAAGAATTGTGAGTGTTGGCACAATTAATAATTTACATAGTTTTCAACCTTTTGTTTTTTTTAAACGCGGCATCTCCAAAGAGTAGAATTTCTAAATATTTTTAGATTCTTGATAAGAACTTAACACTGTTAGGTCTTCATTCTATTACTTGCAGGACCAATGTTTAGTTAACAATGTTGAGCAAGTCCAAGACATAACATAACCTAAAGCGATATAAAACTCTAGGCGTCAATTTTGAAAAGAAGGTTAAAAATCCATATTTTTCTGCCGAATTTCTTAAGTATGTTTACAAAGCCATTTTTAAAATAATAATACTACACGTTAGAGAATGTTTCTACATTGCAGTCAAACAAGGTTATTCTAGCCGCACGCATTTAGAAACGATTTAGAGTTTTCCAGGCATGTTAAGCGTAACAAAATCGATAATATTTTTACTACATAGAGGCTTTTTGCCAAAGTTTTAAGTTAGGCGAGGAAAAAAAAACTGTCATGAGCAGATGATTTTTTTGAAACTGTTGCCACTAAGAGAAGACACCATTCTGAGCTTTAAATGATCTGAGATGAGCACAAACTGTTTTTTATGAGCTTATACCCGCAAGCAGTGGACACAATCGAGCTAGGTTTGGACACCAAACTGGCACCGCCATCATTCACTCCTTGCCAGCCACCTCCACCCCTCATATCTCCAGTCACCATGCTGGACTTGGAGTGTGTGAAGCGACATTGCACAAGCAGTGAGTCACACGTCACCATGGAGATCACCAATTTGCCCCTGTCATGTGATCAGAGGTGTGATAGGGACGATCTCAGCCAGTTCGACAGGCCAGTGTTCGATGGTCCCAGAATATTCTACTGGTGGTCTTGGACGTTGGGACTGACAGATCTTCTGGAAGACTCCAGAAGGAAAGACCCTCTCAGCTGTTTCCTTCGCCCATTCATCAAGACTCTAGTTGTGCTGATTCTGCACGCTTTTGCTGTGCACTACGTGATATTGCTTGGCACTCCCAACAGAAGCGGCCATTTGTGGTTCACTCTGGTGGTCTCAGTCGACGCTGTGACCACCGTCATTCCAATGGACATTCTGCTTCTGAGAGTTAAAAGAGTCCGAAAGCTGACCTGCCAGCTTCAGACGTTGCATTTCGAAAAGTCTGCCTCAGAGACTAAGAGTTACAAGTGGGAGACTCTGGCCGTTGTGGTCACTATTCTGTTTTTAATCTTTTACGTGGTGGCCCTATCCATCATAATCCAGTCTTGGGACATACACCACATGCTGGAAGCTCATCTACCCTACGTTCAGTCCGTGTGCGTCTCGGAGGAGTGCGCTTACAACGTGGTGCTTCTGGTGTGGGGCAGTCACGTGATGCTCATATGGGGTGTCAAAGCTTTCCTCGTTCTTTTCTTCTGCTTCATATGCAGCAACAGCCAATTTCAGTTCGAGTGTCTGAACAAGAGCCTCATCCTGATGAAGGGAAAGGCTGACGTCGTGGAGGCCGGTATGGTGCACGACATCGCGGTCGACCACAACAAGCTCTGCGAACTCGTCTTCGAGGCTGATCGTCTCTTCAACGCTTCTGTCTTCATTTGGTTTGCTTTCGTGTTGCTCGTCATCTGCGTAGAGGTCAACAGCTTTCTCCGTCAGGAGAAAGGTCTCATATCGAGCGGCGGAACGGTCATCATGGTCTTAGATTTCCTATACGCTATAGCCATAGTGATCTTTATCGTCATAGGTGGCTGCAGGGTAGCCGAGGTAGCTTTGCAGACCATTCCCTACATAGTGAACTTCGCCCGGTCCAAGGAGATGCCCAGTCAGAGCGTGTACAATGAGGTGCAGTTGATCGTCAACCGAGTGACCGTGTTTCCGGTCACTTTCACGGTGGGCAAGTTTTTCTACATCACACGCAGCATTCTCATCACTCTGGTCAGTGCCCTTTGCACTTATATAATAGTTCTAGTGCAAATGAGTCCGCAAGTCATGGAGAACTTCAATTCAAAAAGCTAATCTGTGTGTGTGTGTGTAGAATCTTCCTTTTTCCTCAAAGAAAAGTGGGTGAATTTATTTTCTGAAGAAAAAAAAAAAAGATTAAAAATATTTCAAAAATAGCTTTAAGGATGCGAAAGAACAAATGGATACGCTGAAACATAATCAAAAAATACTTCGTGAAATTGCTTCATGGATATGAAAGAACAAATGGATACGCTAAATCAAAGAATACTTTGTGAATAGCTTTATTATGGATAGAGCGGAACAAATGGATACGCTGAAACAATATATATATATATATACATAAACATGATAGATTATTCTATTTGTCATTTGGTATAAATGATGTGCTGTTACATATTCGAATAGAATAAATATATTCGACGGAGAAAAAAGTTTGTATTTCTTCAGCGTATGTTATTTGAGTATTTCTAGGATACGACACCGAGTTTGGAACAGTAATGCAGTAAGTAAAATTATTTCTTTTTTTTTTATTTACAGATTCTTGAAATTTTTTGATGTACCAAATTTACTTAAATTGTATAGAGAGCCGCTAGATGGCTCAGGGAATAGAGCGTTCCCCTTCCAATGAGGTAAATCAGGTTCGAATCCCAGAGATGGCTGGTCGATACGAATTACGCATCCGGCTTGCACCGATCACAGTGCTGATGGGAAATTTCCTCAGTGGTAGACGGATCATGGGTTAGAGTCAGGGTTGGCAAAGTTTAGGACAGAATGGATTAATCCACGGTTTAAACCCTGGTTTAAACCGTCCTGTCCAAAACCCCTTTGTCTAAAACTGTCTTAAACTGTCCAAAACCCTTTTACTCAAATTATGTCACAATTTTATCTGAACAATATTTAAGAGGTAAAATAAACATAGAACTAATAACATATTGATAATTAAATATACTAGAGAATATTTGTTTTTAAAAGTATAATGTTTAATTAATATTGCTTGACTCTTCAATTTAAACAAAGGAAGATTAATCAGTAATCAAGTTCAATTAGTTCTCTCATTCAATAGTACATAACTGAAGTTTGGCCTTGCCATACAGGTTAAAATATTAGGGACTAAGTCCTTGGTTCGTCATAAACAGGTTTATTTATCTACAGTGCTATTCAAGAATACTTTTATTTCATTCATGCTCAATTCTTTTAGCATAGTGGTGATACATCACCAGTGTCAGTAACTGAAACTCATGTTATGCCTTTCAAAACTGTTAATACATTTTTCAGTTATTTTGTATTTTCAATTTAAACTAATATATTTATATTTAAAAACAATTTTTTTCAAAATAGATGTCTTTTTTATTATCCTGTAATGCAGAAATTATAACATTTTTTTAAAAAAATATTGTGAAAAATAAAAGGTTAATTTTTGAACAAATTTAGTATTTTTTTAAAGAAAAATTATTATTTTTTAATATTACCATATTTATCCTTACGCAAAAATATTATTTATCAGTATTAAAAGCATATTTATATTTAAAGGATTAGGTATTCACTTTTGTTGTTCAATGAATTGTGGAGTTTCAAAAATTATAAACCTTTTCCTATTATATTATATTATTTTCTTTTAATAAGATATAGTAAATTGTATAAAAAATATCAAATATTTATTGATACATGTAATTATTATGTGCACAATGGTTACACCTATAGAATTTTTACCTTTTACCAAAGTTCAAGGTTTTGGACACTTTAAGATAGTTTAGGACAGGTTTACCCAGTTTAGGACAGTTTTGCCCAGTTTAAGACAGTAAAACCCACGTGTCCTGTCCAAAACCAGTTTAGGACGTCTAAAATCCCAACCCTGGTTAGAGTCCCCTTGCCGTCAGGCTAACCATGAATGTCTCCATGTAACTCAAATGCGGATTAGTCCCATCAAAGAAGTCCTTCACTAAGGCAAATTTCTCCCAATACTTAATCCAAGAGTTCCCTTGTCTTCTGGATTAGGTTCAAAATTACAAGGCTATGATGTTCAACGACGGTTATAAAATAAATTAAAATTGTATACACTACCTTTGTTCTGGTAGTACAAAAAACAACATAATAAGCATGCACGAACAGGTTTATTTTGGCATAACAAATAAGTACTTAAGTGAGCTCTACTTATCTCTATAGAGGTTGTCAGATAGGGAGAGCTATCTAATCCGTCAAATGCGCTTTCTTTTATCACTAACATCTGGGTGTGACCGAAAAATGTATTTTAAAATTTCAAAACTGCTCTTATACAAGGCAAGCAATTTTAATGCGATTTATTTTTTATCATGTGTTTGAATGTGTACACTTTTAAATGAAATTCTGATTAACTTTTATTTATAAGAAATAAATTCTGGATATTTATTTTGTTTTATTGTCATCGCTAAGAAGCAAGTGTGAAGAAGAAGTTGTGTTTCGAATCACACCTTTTCTCCTTCCGAAATTGCGAATCAGCAATGCGGGCACGCAATGGAGACATAATGACCGAAGCATTTTTTTTTTTTTTTTTTTTTTNTTTTTTTTTTTTTTTTTTTTTTTTTTTTTTTTTTTTTTTTTGCCTACTTCCATACAGCTTCCGTCGTGCGATTAAAACATAAGGATTTCACGAAACTATTTTCTTTTACTCGCTGACAACGTTAAAATAGAATCTCGGAAAACTTATTTAAAAAAAAAAGATTGATTTTTATTTAAAATATTATTTTTTATCTTACATGATTTGGCTTATACAAAAAATTTTAAAATATGTAATAAATTTAATTTTGAATTTTTTGTTTCTTACGTTGAATTTTCTATTGTACCGAAAATATTGTCTTGAACGTATTCTTTGCCTCAAAAAGTGACGAAACTACTTCTGCGTATAGTACCAAAAGCACATTGTTTTTAGCGTATTTATTTTATCAACATTGACAGAGGTACTTTTCATAATTGTTGAACTGTTGTTTTAAAATATTGCTTTTTATGAATAATGGCAGACTTACATATGATAAGAAGCATACAGAAAAGTTCAAGAAATGCTGAGTATATATACTTATTCGCTAGCAAATATGCCTACTATCTGATTAAAAACGAATCTGTAATTTACAAAAGTACCATACGTTTACCACAAGCTGTAACCTACAAATTTAGAATTCAATAAAGTAACACATTAAGAATTTAATATACAAATTAAGAATTTAATATACAAATTAAGAATTTAATGAAGTATTTAGAATTTAATGAAACAAAGCTCAATCTTCTTTTTTAAAAAACATTTTTACCAATACCCTACGCTTATTCTTTTATAAAAATGGTATCTTCATTCGAAAAAAAAAGTTTCCTTTTAAGATTTATTTTGCAAAAATAAGACGTTTCTGTCTATCTAAATATATTAATATAAATATTTATATTAGCATCTGATGTTAAGGCAAAGTGCTTTTTTTAAAAGTTAAGTGGTAGGTGTAAAACAGTACTTAGTAATAACAAACAGTACTTAGTAAGTAACGGCTACTAAACAAACACCAACCAGGTAGCAGAGAATTATCAGTTTTACGTCAAAAACGCGCATATTTCACCTTTAAATTTTACTAAGCATTCGTAAAATTTACATAAAACTGAAATGTCGAATTATAGCAAAATTTTTTTTTATCCAAATGGACTTAAAAATTTACATAAACTTATACGCAAATAAATAAATTTTTTTGCGAATATTTTACCAACCACTTTCTACTAGGTCAGAATGAGAATGTTATTTTTACATATTATTTACGTCAACACTATGTCAAAACGTCCAACTATACAAAAAAGAGGTTATGTATATATATTAAAAAAAAACAGAAAATTTGTGCAAATAAATTCGAACCGAAATTTAAATTATAAATTTCCTTCGTCAATAATACGCAAAATACGAAGAATCATTTTTACTAAATCTAAATAGTAAATATTCTTCCGTCAATCTTCCATAAAATATATGAAAGTAATCTCACCGAAGGGTAGTTGGTAAAATCCATTCCGTTAATATTACGTAAAATATATAAAAACTTTTTTACCAAATATTTCAATGGTATTATCATTCTGTCAATATTACGTAAAGGTTACGTATAAAGCGTTTTGACTTTATCAATTTCCCAAAATTTACGTATTATTCTACACTAGTGGGCTGCCCCCCCTGCTCGCTAACGCTCGCCAACCCCGAAAATTGCTACGCGATCTTATATGGTTTGCTTCACAAACCAAGCTCGCTTCGCTCGCTACTAACTTAGGTACATTGCAGATGCACAAAATTCTAAGAATTCAAAACAATCATTCAATTTCATATAACAACTTTTTTTTTAAAAAAAAATTACATCTTTTTAGTAAATACTAAGTCATTAAAATAAATTTGAATTCAAATAAATGACATGTAATTCGTTAAACCTATTAGAAATGTGCTATAGTATAAAATCTTAAAGCGTAACAGCACGACTGAGATAAAACAAATAAATTCATGATATAAATCAAAAATCGTCAAATAAATTCGTAATATATAAATTCGTGAAAAAAAGCGCTCTCGACAAAATACTCAAATAGAGATCTATCGACAAACACTACTCACTTCTGCCTAGCTTAAGGTTATTTCAGTTTCGGTTTTAAAAGCGCTATACGTTGAGCCACCTCAGCTAGATATGGCATGTGACATTTTTAGTGGCAATCATGGGTCGATTTTCTAGCGTTGTCATTCGGGGAGTTGTAATGAGGCTTTTTTTGTCGCCTTGTAAGAGAAATATATAGATAGATAGGCACATTTTCATATAATTATTTTTTGTTTATAAAGCCCTTTTTTAACTGAGAATTAAAGAAATATCTATGCAGTTTACTAGAATGTTGGTTGGAAAATACTAGAAACTGGATTGAATTATTATGTTCGTACTAGCTGTATTAATTATTTCAGTACAAAGTAAAATTATATGATCTAATTATGGTTAAAAAAAAGCAGTTTAATTTGGAGAATTATATTTCAATACACTTGATAGAGACAAAATATTAATAATTTATATTCATTAAAAAATTTAAAAAAAATTTATAACGAAACTTTTTATAAAAAATTTAAATGAGTGTTACTAAAAGTATAAGAAGACACATTCGTATAAAAATGTTGTTGCTGAATTAATTTTTCGATAAGTAAATTTTGATTAATTCTTTCTTCATTAATCCTAATGGTATATAAACACTTTAAAATATCGAAAATAAAAATGTATGATTTTCACGTTAGTCTTTACATTTTACGTAAACTAAAATCCCTCTGAATAACTTTTCATTGAAATTAGTATCTTAACTTCTTAACCGTTTTGGAATTATTATACTGTAAATAAGTTTCATTAACTTTTATAATAAGCTTTATATAAAACTGTTGCCAATAAAAATATGGAAATAAAATAAATTAAATAAGTAACATAAAACTATTATTAGTAATCAACTTTACTCACTATTAATAAACTAACTGTTTGGCGAAAAACATAAAGTCACAGTTGAATAGGAATTTAATAAACGAAATTGCAGATACGTTGCAATCTTAA